TTTATTGATTAAATGATCACATATAACATATTTTATATGGATCTGTATAGTCTATGTGTATAATTACCTTATACAATGTAAGGAAGTTTTAAATGTATCTTTGTTACCCTTTGTGAAGTCAGCATAGACCTAAACCAAAATTCATAAATAAGATGCTACACACTCACAGAACCTAAATATGTTACCTGCCCATGCTGTTAGCTATTGCTTAATTTTAGAGCATAACATATCTTCTGAATCACTGTCCATTATTTTGGTCACTTAATTATAACTCTATGTTCTTTGTCTCACCAGAATGAACCAATGCAACAGAGATTCAAACACTATTTCGGATATGAACTATACAATTGGGAAAGAGAGGAGTCGGGGTAGGGAAAGGGAAAGTGGGAGAAAACAAGGGAGGGGGCAACAATATTCAACAAGAAATAACACTAGTTATCTTGCTTAGGTAACTGTCCTCACCCTTACAATACAATAAAATAAAATTTAAAAAGCTATCGAACAGTTAAAAATTATAACTATTGTTAAATCATTATAGCTTACAATGATTACATTGTATGGATCAATAATTACTGTCAAATAATCTCCAAATACATATTTATAACTTCCTATTGTGGTTCTAAGGTAACTTTTGGGTATAAAGTCTATAACTTCCCTCTGAATAAACTACCTCTTATATAAAAGATGTGATTTTGTGACGAAAATCACAGGTCTTTACAGCCAAACAAGACATTTTCGAATCTAAGTTTAATGAGATCCAATAAAATTAGCAGGTATTATAACTTTTTGTTACATTTTTCTTTATTGTTGTTATTATAAAGGAGATGTACAGTTACCTGAGTCATATAATGAGTATATTTCTTTTTGGACACTGTCACACTGTCCCTCACTCTCTTTGTTTTTTCCCTCACCTCCCTACCCTCAAATTGTGCAGTTCATTTTCAACATGGTGTCTAGTGATTATCACTGCTGCACTTGTTTACCTTTTGTCCCACCATTTCTGTGCTGCCCTTACCCTCCCAAAGACAGATACATATACAACACAAAAAGAAAAACAACAAAATCGAAGAAAAATCCTCTTGTTTCCCTTTCTTGAAGTTCACTTGGATAAATATTATTTTATATGATTAGTGGCACATAAACATCATGGCCCTGTGTTCCTTCTCTTAGAGTATTCTCCTCTGGTCTCATTGTGTGTGAATGCCTAGAGTTCTGGATAAGTTATCATATGCCAGAATATTGTAGATCTAGTTTCTGCATATGTGAGAAAACATGCGCCTTGGCTTACCTTACTTAACATGATTTGTTCTAGATCCATCCATGCTCCTGCAATTGACATTTTATTCTTTCTAATGATTGTGTAAAATTCCATTGTGTAGAGGTACCACATTTTTGGACCTGATTATCTTTTATAAGGCAGTTGGGCTGTATCCATAGCTAGACTATTGTGAATAGTGGAGCACTGGACATGGAGGTGCACGTGTCTTTAATGTATCTAGGCTTTTGATGTTCTGAGTAAACATCCAGGAGTTCTGTGGCTGGGTTAGAGGGAAGGTCTATGTTGAGTTTTTTAAAGAAACTTCAGATAGTAGATATTGAATCTTTTTTTTTAAATTTAATTTTAGATATTGAATCTTTTTATAGATATTAATGATGTATTTCTACAGTATACTTCAGGCTGTGACAGACATGTATATGTGCTAAAAATTATTTTGGTGTATTAAAACTGAGATCTTAATTTTGGCTAACATACAGTTACATTCAAAATGAAATTTAACCTAAACAGTTGCTTTTTTCCCAATTGAAAGTACTCTCCCCCATTTCTCACCAATAGAAAGAAAGGCAATTTTAAAGGACTAATCTCCCAAATCCTGAGTGCCAGTTTCTTATTCTATCTGTCACATGCTGCAATCGAGCACACATTCAGTCTCTGACAGGTGGCAAAGTTTTATCCTGTAAGTGAAAGAGGTCTCATCACTTTAGTTTTATAAATTGTAAAATAAGCAATTGGATGTCTAGTGTTCATTCTCTTTCAACGCTAAATATTCTGTAAAAATAATGTCGATTGTCTGTAAGGATTAAGTGGTGTTTTCTCATGACAGGTGGCATAGCCCTGGATGAAAATAGTTTTATTCATTCTGGAAACATTTCAGAACCCACTCAACCCATTTTGAACAGAAGGCATTTAATAGAGAAAACTGGATGTAGAGTTGATTAAAGAGCCAGGCAGCCTCTTAGAAATAAATCAGAGACCGGCAATAATAGGATCTCTATCACCCCTAGGACGTGAGGGACAGCCGAAGGGACATGGTAACTGGTACTCAAGACCTGCCATCTGTGATAGATTGGACCCAGGCCAGATCTGCTGTGAGGGAGCAAGGGGTGAAGTGGGTGACAGCGGTGAAGCCAAGGAGGCCAAGCCACTGTAAAAGTGTGTTCCAAAAGTAGACTTTTAAAAACTTATGGGTTGAGGGTAACGTGAGAAGTGTCATGGTTTACATATTTTGCATTTGGTTTCTGTTTTTATTTCTTTTTTTAAAATCAGTCAAAACAAATCTTTGGATAATATGTGCTCCCTTAAACCCTTGTAAGAAGGAATTAAGAAGAAGTAAAGGTGTCAGAGAAATAGGAAAGATTCCTCAATATAATATGGCTGTAAGCACTGTGAAGAAAAGGTTTCAATGAAGAAAATGCTGATTAAGTTATTGTCCTTTATCTTCCTTTGCAGCTATTCATTTTTAATTCACAGGTGCTACTATTAAAAGTAACTGATTTACCTTTCCAGGTAGACTACAAAAGTCCATATACATTTTGAGCTCTGTTCCTTCTCAACCATTTGAAAGGTCATCGTTTAGGTTTACCTTGACTGTAATTCTCTTCCGAAATAATTTACTATTAAATATTGAGTAATCGCCAAGTATTCCTCCTTTTATACTTTTAAAGGCAATTTGTGTTTTGTTTTCTACCTACTGTTATCAATGACTTTATTTTTCTACTTAATTTGTGGTCTAGATAATTATAATTAAAGTCTGGTTAGAAGGTTGGAATGACTGGGATGGTAGAGTGTCTTTCTAGCAATCGTTGAGTGTTAAGTTTGAATTCTAGCAGCATCGAAAACACATGCTGCTTCCTTGTCTTTTACTTTTCTATCAATTTGCTATCAGAATGTTTTTCTAAAACCCAGCATTAAATTTTAAACCCTTCTCAAAAATTTAACCCCAAATGATTCAAAATTGGTTTGTTTTCCATGACCTTCTGATTCAACCATACCTGACTATGTTTACCATATCTCTGTTTCCTGAACATAAGCTTGTTTTAAAGCCTGGAATGCTATTTCCCATTCAAATGATAAGATTTTTAGTGTGTCTTCCATGAGACTTCCTTCAGAACACCAAAAGGACATGGTTTCTTCTTGAAATTTGAGTTAACACTCTCCTTTTTGTTTTCTTTGTTTTTCTTCTTAGGTGGTACTTTGGATCAAATATTTTATATATTTTCCTAAATAATAAACTTTGGTAAAATACTCTAAAATTTTATCTAACTTCTCTATTGGCACTATATAACACCTTATGTTTCACAAACAATCAATTTGCACATCTAAATATACTTACATGCTTAAGGCACATTTGGTCTGTTTATATAAATAATAGGCAACACTCTTGCAAGGAACCAACAGACTAAAGTACAAATATTATTTTTTCTTAAATTGAATCTTATTTTATTATGAAAATTCCTACTTCCAAAGATACATTTTTATCTTCATTTCTTTCTTTCTTTTTTTTTTTTTTTTAAGAAAACTGCCTTTATTCTATTAGTTGGAAAAATTAACTGGTAGAGAAAAAAAGTTTAGTCAGCTGGAGAGAAGAGAAAGCCCAGTGTCTCTCATGAGAGCTGGTGGCTCCCGTGGGAGGGAATCTGGATACAGGAGGAAAGGAGCACTCTGAATTAGAGCCAGCCCCTGCAGTCCAGGTGAAAACGGCTATGCCAAGTGTCTAATTGCCTCAAGAGTGAAACCAAATTCTTATATAGTTAGCCCAGCTCCTGAACAGGGTACTGGGATATGAAGGATGGGCTGTTTTCAGTGATATGGCCATATTTTATCAGAGAAAAAGACAAAATGGGAATTTTTGGGGGGGGGGGGGTCCTGTCGTGGGGCCTGAACTCGGCCTGGGCGCTGTCCTTCAGCTCTTCAGCTCAAGGCTAGCGCTCTACCACTTGAGCCACAGCGCCACTTCTGGCTTTTTTCATTTTGCTTTATGTGGTGCTGAGGAATCGAACCCAGGGCCTCAGGCATGCAAGCCAAGCGCTCTACCACTGAGCCACCTTCCCAGCCCAGTACACTTTTTTTTTTTTTTTTTTGGGAATGACAAGTATCAGTATTAGGAAATTGAATTATACAAAAAATACCACATCTAGTGTGGGGTAGATATATTTATTTTTGGTAACATACTTTAAGTGGCACTAATTACACAGTAACTATAAGGTAACCAACATGAAACCACAGAACTGTAACTCTGCCACAGCTGCCGAGGACTTGCCTTTCTGGCTGAGTACATTTTCAAACAAAACAAAATAAAGAAAAACTAGAGCTGGGCCAGTGAAAATCTATGAAGGAGTAGAAGCTCTGATAGTGGCGACTCACCAGAGTTCTTCGCAACTGAGAGATGTTAGGCAGGACATGTTAGTTATAAAGTAGTTACAGCTTAATTCACAAAAGTTACCATTTCTCTTCCTAGAAAGAAGCAAGAAGAAATTCCTTGACTTAGCGCCTGGTGTGTCAGGTGGAGTGCAGAGAGAGCTGTCAGAGCAGTGTCAGAAGGACCCTGGCAGGTCAGACGGGTTGGACATCATTAATAGTCATGGTTGGCTTCTAAATACTGGATGACTTCTGATTTGTAATGTTAGGTAAAGTGTAGATAAGAAGGTCAGTAATCCTACGCTAAGATTAATAAACAGCACTTCAAAACGAACCGCGTGAGGGCTGTGCGCGCAGCAAGTTTTCACAAGACAAGGCACCCAGAGTTTTTCTTCCCACGACTGGTTTGCAGAGCGGCTCTCGTGGCCATTTCAAAAACCTCTCTCACTCCGTCGTTGGCCTTTGCTGAACACTCCATGTACCCTAAAGCGCCAATCCTGTTGGCCATATCTCTGCCCTCTTCAGGTTTAACTGGCTCCTGCTTCATCTTAGCCAACTCCCGCCTCGTATGCTTATCATTCCGAAGATCCTTCTTGTTTCCAACCAGGATAATGGGCACGCTGGGACAGAAATGCTTAACTTCTGGAGTCCACTTTTCTGGGATGTTTTCTAAACTATCAGGGCTGTCAACGGAGAAACACATCAGTATAACATCAGTGTCTGGGTAGGAGAGGGGTCTCAGGCGATCATAATCTTCCTGCCCAGCTGTGTCCCACAAAGCCAGTTCTACCTGCTGTCCATCCACTTCAATATCTGCCACATAGTTCTCAAACACCGTGGGCACATAAACCTCTGGGAACTGGTCCTTGCTGAAGACTATGAGCAAGCATGTCTTGCCACAAGCTCCATCACCGACAATCACAAGTTTCTTTCGGATGGCAGCCATCTCTTACATATGTGCGCAAAACGTACAGTGTGTGTGACAGAAGTTTAGCAAAGTACCTTGAGCTTCTCAGGTAAAAGGCTCAAGCGATGACTCCCAGGTCCAGTCTTTTCACACCCACGATGCGTGGTCCGCGAGTGGCAAAGCTCAGAGATGAAGGCGGGCAGCCGAGGGGGCAACGGTGGACTAACCAAGAGAACCGAGGGGGTGGGCGGGGTGGACGGGGAGCGCGAGCGGGCGCGGGCGGGTGCGGGCGGGTGCGGGCGGGTGCGGGCGGGCGCGGGCGGGCGAGTGGAGGCCCTGGGGAGTTATCTTCATTTCTTAATTGAATGATAATATGAAAATTTCAGTGTAAAATTTCTGCTTCAAAGTCTCTATCAAGTATTTACTAGTCTGTAAGTAAGTAGTAAATAAAGAGTTACCCTAATTATAGGTCAATCGAAATGTGATTGTCAATATTTTAACATATTAGTGTTTTTAAGTGATTACTGTATATTAACTGTAAATATTCACTTTATGACTAATATTTTGTTCCCTTTCTGAATTAAGCATAACAAATATGACCATGTCTTAAATCTGAGTATAATTATAAAATACACAATAAAATTATTTCATTAAGCTAATTTATAAATTGCATGTGTAAAAATAAATTGATTATTGGAGAACTATCTGTATACTACCCAACTATTGTAGTTTGGATTCAGAAAATCACCAATATGAACATTCTTCCTTAAGTTAAATTGTTAACCAAGAAAATCAAAATCATTTTCATTAAATTCACAATTTAGTCTATGACATGAGGAAAATTTATCCCAGGTAAGATGTTGTTGACATTTGTGGAAATTTACTAGTAAAGACCACCCTAGAAACTATTATGTTCTTCTAATGCATAAAATAATTAGGATTTTTTTGTCTTGTAATATAAAAACATGAAAAATAAATTTTAAGGGAGATTGTGAGATTTTAATAAGTACAAAAAACCTTGCTTTTGTAAATTTTGGACCTGTGTTTTATAGTCCATGAAATTCAATCCTCTGTACCAGATGCGATGACAAGAACTCTCAGTGATGCCATCCTATTTATGTGCATGTCTGAAATTACAGACCTGTTTCCCAAGGTTCCTTCTACTCAATGTACATGTGTAGTCTGGACTCACTCAGTCACTATGGTGACTGCTGCTAGGTCATAATCAATTGCTGCTTTAGAAGCAACTCTGTGCCTCACAGACTGAATGATGCATGTATTCCAAAGGAACCATCTCATTTGAGATGACCATATATATGACAGTGCGATATGTCTGCTGCTGCCATTTCCCAGAGTTGATGCCCATGGGTATAAATCTATACTTTGTTCTAGTGTTTATCTGCAACACATTTTTTTCCCCTGCCTTACTCTAGTCAGCCTTAATTCTGCACACTGTTTTTACCATCATCTATCTTTTCCAGCCTCCAACTAATACAACTGAATTGGTGGGAGTTTATCTTCAAGCTTGATATATGATATGACATAGGTACCACCTCAGAAGAATTCTCCTTGATATTAGTGTTTATAATTTGCTCTATTATGACTTTTACAGTTTTAGAACGACATTAATCTTTAGTAACAGTGCTAAGCCATCATGTTATACAACCCCAGTAGCAAATTTTCACTGGAAAGAATATATGCATTTATAATTTAGGATAGCTCAATTATATTATCTTATTTCATACTTATATACTATCATTATTGAAAGCAATAGTTTTTTAACAATGCTGAAATAACCATGTAGGCTGATATATTTAATAAAAATAGATTAACTGAACTCGGAAATAAATATTCTAGGTATCTTTCCTTATAACATGTATCAATACCATAAATGTAATAAAAATTAAAGATTTTTTAACAGTTTTTAATTTCATAGGTTTTATCTTTACCACTATTTATGGTATTAATATACTATGAAATGTGATTATGTAAAAAAAAGATTAAATGATTAAAATATTAGGGTTAGATAAATCAAATCTACTTTAAGATTCAGGGAAAGTGGTATAATAATTATAAGAAAGAAATATTGTTTTCTCAGGTAATTCAATGTTTCATGAATATTTTCCAAATATCAGGAACTGTATTCTCAAGTGAGCAACATTTGTATTTTATAATTTATTTATTTTTCCTTTGAGATTTTTATTGTAATTATAGAGTTGATATACAGAAGATTATTTTATGAAACATTTGTATTTTTTTTTCTTTTGGTCGATCATGGGCTTGAACTCTGGTCCTGGGCACCATCCCTCAGATCTCTGACTCAAGGCTAGCACTCTACCGCTTGAGTCATAATACCACTTCTAGCTTTTTCTATTTATGTGGTGCTTTTTCTATTTATGTGAATCCAGTGCCTCATGCATGCGAGGCAAGCACTCTACCATTGAGCTACCTTTCCAGACCCAGAAACATTTGTATTTTAAAGAATAAATAATAATGAAGTATAACTTACTATGTAACTAGAGCATAATCAGAAATTGTCAATAGATAAGGAAGACGCAGTTGTAGCCATACACAAGTGCGCATGTGCGCGCGCGCGCGCACGCGCGCGCGCACACACACACACACACACACACACAAACACACACACATATGATTGTAAACCAGTTTTGAAATGATACAAATAATGATGTAACAGAAACAATAGTCTGCATTGGCTTTTGTTCCATTTCTATAAGGAGAAAGATTGTAAAAATGTAAGAATTAACAAGAGATAAGTAAAATCATGCTTTCACAAAGCAGGACCATGTGAAAGGAATTCTTAATAATGAGAAGTCTATGGATACAAAAGAAACTGAAGGGAGATGTTAGGCCAGTAAAAATAAAAAGCTGATAAGGAGTAGCTACTTAAGGAGCAAGGAAATTTAATGGCATTGTTATGGCCTTCTAAATGTGAAGAATCTGAAAGTACAATTTCTGTTAGATAGCTCAGTATTTAGGGAAAAAAACCCCAAAACTTTACAATCTATTTCTCATTGTGAGTTTTGTAGTCACATAAATACTTATTAATAGTAAAATAATTTTCTCATTACCTTTTATATGTGAATCTTTCAAAAGATTTATAAACTATCCTTATTTAAATAGCTTGCATGATAATTATTGTTCTGTTTAAAAATTTCTCTTTGCAAATTACCAGTTCATTTCAAGTTTTTTTTCTTTACAATGTATTCTCTCCTACAGAACTTTTCCTGTTGTTTTCATTGGAGTGGATCTCACTAACTACAAACCTCATTACACTTGATTGTAGCACTAATACACCTTCAAATGTCTCAACAGGGGACATTTAGATGAAAAATAATAGAATACATATTAATTTAAGAGCTAAAAATCTTTTCAATAATTTAAAGAATACAACCATACAACAGATTCTGAAGTACAAAATGAATGACAAACTATTGTTTGTATATTGTGCAAAACTTTATAATTACAATATAAAATAGTTTTTTAACAATCATAATTACATTATTTAAAGAGATGCATAAAACAATGTCTGACTGTGGTATTTGCTAACATTTCAAAAATACAAATTCTCCAGTTGGAATCAAGGATCATATATCACTGTACGTATCTTGGTATTTGTGTGATATAAATGAAGCTGTGTTTATGTGTGCATCCTCAGCAAATAATCTTTATTTGTACATTTATGCCAATGACATTTGTAACTTACATATGGTAAAAATAATTGGAAAACAAGTGTACATCATTGATTGTAACTCTCCTTACGTATTGAGAATTGAATAGTAAGAGACAAATATTTATTTACTAGCATCTTTTCATACTACAGCCTTTTTGTCTTGTTAGATATTTTCCTGGAAGCTTCCTCTGCCTCTGAATGATTAAACTTCAGTTTATTTACCCAGTAATATATTTAAATCTTCAGAGTATAGTTCCTTAAAGTTTATCATCATAAAATATTTCCTGAATGTGCTTTATATCCATTATGTATAGATTAGAATGGATTTACAATAAAGGAGGATAAGGCAACCATTAAAATCATGTATGATAAATATAAAGCTACTGTACTTATTGTAGTTGTAAACCATCACCATTTGTCAAATATGAATGATATGCCAGTGTGAAATTTTTGTGTAGTTCACACTAAGTACTGTAACTCAGTGCTAAGGTTTTTCTAAGAAGATTCTATGAAGCTTATTTAAACAATATATACCATGTCAACTATACACTCATATTTCACCAACTATTTTTCTGTTCAAAGTTGAATAATTCTCAGTAATATGTATTTTCTTTTTTCTTAAATTTTATTTTATTGTGAATATGATGTACAGAGGAGTTACAGCTACGTAAGTAAAGTCATGAATACATTTCTTGTCAAACATTGTTACACTCTTCCTCGTTTTTCTTCCACTTTCACTCTCCCTTAACTCCCCCACCCAGTTTTAAAATTCATTTCCAACATAGTGTCTTGTAAGTATCGCTGTTGCATTGGTTCACTCTTTGTCTTTCGTCTCACCATTTTGTTATTCCCCTTCTTTCCCCAACGTATATACAAGACACAGGGTATCAAAATCAATACAGTGGCAGTAGGGGATTAACCACAGGAAAAAAACATAAAAATGAAATGAAAAAGAAAGAACTTCAAACAGTACATAAAAAAACCCTCTTATTTCCATATCTTGGAGTTCATTTCTATTGACATCATTTTTGTGGTCCTCTGCTAGGATTATTCTAGACATACAGTAATTATTACAAATGAGGGAAAACATGGAGCCTATGTTTCTTTGGATCTGGCTTACTTCACTTTATATGGTTTTTCCCTAAGTCTTTCCATTTCCTTATGAATGGGGTAATGCCATTCTTTCTGATGGAAGCATAGAATTCTGTTGTGTATATATATTTTCTTGGTCCATTCATCTATTGAGGGGCATCTGTGTTGGTTCCATATCTTAGCTATGGTAAATAATGATAGATAAACATAGTTATGCTGGTAGCTTTAATATGACCTTGTTTGTCGTCATTTGGGTAAATGGATCAAAAGGGAGTCCTGTGTTTAGCCTTTTGAGGAACTTCCATACTGCTTTTCAGAGTGGTTGAACCAGTTTATATTTCCCCCAATAGTG